ATAATGTAGTATATGCATGTCCAAGACCAGCATGACAGTGCCGTGATCAGACGTGTAACCGCGGACCTGGCGCCGGAAACCTCATCATGCAGTGTTCAGTCCTCCACTTTCCAGTTTCATCCCTTTACGTAACAATAACCTGGAACCTTCCCGATAATGAGCCCCTAAAAACATACAATGGTATCATACTGGGGGTATTTGTTATCAGCGGTGGGCGGGCTTGTTTTGGGGGGAGGAGATCGCAAACTTCGGCTTGGGTGCGCCCACAACCCCAACCTACACTCCTGATCAAGTCAATCAAGCCAAACGACGAGTTTAAATGAGGTTGCGGCCACAGCGGATAGGTCCGGCAGGGAGAGAGTTTGGGGTAGATTCTTCAGGGCCAACATGTAGGACAGAGCTGAGCCCCGAAAAAAAAGGAAAAGAAGAAAAACAAAAAAACATAAATAAAGCAAATTATCATGGAACTCAAGGCTTTCCCAGAGACTCTGTCCTAGGTGGGGCCCCGGGTATCCATCTGAAGTTTCAAAGGGCTTGACTTCGGATTTGGTTCGGGGGACTGAACGTCCGGGATCCTAGTCCTGGATAGGTTCGGGATCCCTTTGTGCAGGAGTTCTTTGCGGGTCATATAGGGATTGAGGATATGTACGGTTTAAGGTTAGGGTTTGGGATTTTGAGGTTGGAGCCATGTCATTTACTCGTCATTTTCGTGTTTAAGCTTGGCCTTTTCCACTCTGGGGCATGGAGGTGCTTGCTGTCGTTGGCTTACACCCTATTGTGCCTGTGGAGCTTGCAGCCAAAGATTGCCGTGGCCTTGTTTTCCTTGGATACCTCGTCTATCATCCTTGAGACAAAAAAATCGGATGTCAGTTGCTAGGCGCTAGGGCATCTCCTGCTATGTATGCCTTTCCGGGTCTCGCAATGCCCAAAGTTTTTCCTGCAGGAGTGGTTGAGTCAGCCGACCCTAGATTGGTTGCATAGAGCCGGCATGCACACTGCTTGCTACTCGAGATGTTTAGACATTGTGTCGCCCGCAGAGAAATATAGTTTTCCTTACAGCAAGAGAAAATACAACTGTGGCGACTGAAGCCAATAATTTGCCTAGACGCATACATGTCTTTAGATAAACGCCGTATGCCTATGCTGGGTGGCTCTGTCACAAGATTGGGGTCGCTCCTTGACATCTAGAAGAGATCCCAGCAGTGTGGAGTTATATAGGGATTATGTAGGAACAGTGGAAAAGAAAATTGGAGCTACCATAGTTCTTTTGGGTTTAAGGTCGCAGGGTCTGAGGGGTCCTAAGAGGGACGCTTACCCCGCAAAACATGTCGGCATTTGTCCTATGTAAGGTTTGAACCGAGGCCCTCGGACAGCCTGTCAAGCTTTGGGCTTAGGGTTTAGCGCATCTTCAGTTTCAAGTGCCCGCGATAAGGGGCCCATTTATCTACGACTACTTGGAGGGTCAGGCGGACTCCTATAATCCATATAATAACCCTGCTTCTCCCCCTTATTAACCTACTTACGAAGTCCCCCTGGCCTTAAACCCAAAGCCCTTAATACTACAGTAGCTTCCATTTGATTTTTCCTAGAGAAATCCCTATATGACCCCCAAGTACCCGCGCACTCCGGCTCTGGAAGCCCTGGACCCTAAACCCTAAAGCCTAAAGCCTAAACCCCCAACGCTAAACCCAAAACCTAAACCTAGGGTTTAGGGTTTAGGGTTTAGGACCCCAAACCCCGTGTGCAGAGGCAGCCAGCTTCAATCTGGCAGCCGGCGTTTGCAGCGGACGGCTGTGAGACCGCGCGCCATGGTGAACTTCAGCGGGAGAGAGGGTCATGTAGGGTTACATAGAGTTACATTGGGTTATGTATGCGTATAGGGTTAGCTAGGGATATATATATATCTATATATGTAGAGTCTCCAGTAACGAGGAATCACATGACAAATGGAATGGCAACGCTTTTTCTTTGGGTTATCTCTGGGTAGCCTTGAAATTGCATTTGGAATGCATGGACCCCAGTTCTGCGATGCTTGGATCTCTTTCCTATGGGTTAAAGTTTAGGGTTTATTTAGGGTTTAGGGCTTTGGGTTTGTCCAGATTCCTTCAGGATTCTTACAGTCCATCCCATCCTATCTACTTGAGGTTGATGTTGGGGTGAAGTGACGCAGGAAAATTGCTTGGATACTGCCCCCGCCCTATAATAGTCCCTAGGTGTCATTCTCATATGGTATTCTTTTGTCAGAGTCTTAATGCGTGTCCTATGTATGAATGTTTTAGGTGGGGGCAATAATTCCATGGATGCGCCGGCTCAAAGCGCTTTGATGGGAAGGCCTCGCGTGACAAATAGGGCAGTGCTGCCCAAACACGACGCTACGCGCAAAATCGCCCAAGCGGGGAAGTAGTTCTGAGTAACCTTCAAACCTTCAAGTAATAGGGATCCATGTTCGGCTTCTAGCGTCGTAGCAACCAGGGTAGTAGTAGCTGGACTGGTCACTGCTTCTTGCCAAGCTGCTCAGGACCCTGCACCCTAAGCTCAAAACCCCAAACTTTAGCTTCCAATCTCTTCCTAGTCTCCCATTATACAACCCTATATACCTGCATATGTGAATTGAAAAGTTCTAGGACTATGAAGTAGGGCAGGAGGACGCAACCAGGCAGTACCTGCAGCAGGAACATGTAGCTGCTGGCTACTATTTTTTCACGGCTGCTCACTGTTGAAGTAGGGTTTAGGGATTAGGGAGGGTATTAGGGGGTGATATTGCATCAACAATGGAGAACCAAATAGAAAGGAGCATGGAACATGAAATGGAAACTTGGATTATGGCATTCTTGAGCTAGATTCATGTACCGCTCCATCTCCCTCTCTCTTCGTCGCCTTTGCATTAAGCCCCATAGAAATCACCCAACTGCAAGCTTCCGCGGAGGCTGGCCACCGATGCATATAAGCAATACCCCTCCTCATCCAGTAACTTCAGGAACAATGTACGTGCAAGGCGTTTAGCGAGGCAATGCCGGAATGCTGTTTCACCCGCTCGGCAGGGGAACTTATCAGACAAATTGCCCTCTCAAAGTCACAGCTTGCTAATCTCCCACCAAGCAAGATTCCCCAACGAAGCGGTCTTGACATTGAAGTATCACCTTATCTTGATTTACAGCTTTCAAAAGAGGCATTGTTTGGTAAATTCCCTGTTTCGTTTTAGGCTCAGCTGCACAGGACAGTGAGGGGGGCTGTGGCTGGGAGAGTTCGGATGATCAGGGTGTAGGGTAGCCCGCGCAAGACGAGAACGCTCGGGAGGAAGCACACATCCACTTGGGATTAACGTATAGGGGTTGCCCAGAGAGAGAGATTGGGAATATAATGCAGGGGTTATCGGGATTAAAGTGAAGCTCTGCCTAGCAGCACTCGCAAAAGCACTAACAAGCTGTGTACCGTTGTCGCTGTGGTCCAGCATGGGTGTATGGACGTTGCTTCATGCTGCGCCATGCGAGTGTTGAAACCCTGAACTCTACATGTGAATGTTCTGGATGGCCCATATGGCTTATTACGGGGGATTACCACTCCCTGGCAACAACCAGTAGGAAAACCGCAAAATCCCGAAGTGACTTCCGGCCCAGCCAAATTCGCATGCTTGGAGGGTCGCCCCCTCCGGATGCTTGGCAGAAAAGGTGAGACCTCTTGAGACTTAAGTTTATTCTTCATGCAGAGCATGTGAACAGCGGCACATAATCACAAGCTAGGCTAGAGGGAAAAGTATGTGCTTCCGTGCTAATTGCCTTGGTACAATCCCTTCGTTCTTCATCCTAAGCCCTAAATCCGTCCTAAACCTAAAACCAAGCCCCAAATTCTGGTCGCGGACCAAGAAGTTCGCTTTTGTGTGGTCATTGCAGCTACAAGGCCCAACAGGCCATTCCCCCCAAGTTTAAAACCCCCCGAAGGATTGCATAGGGGGTCTATGGGGTCTCGGATTTGGGTCCCGGATTTGGGGTATATAGGGGAATGGAAATGCAAATAGAAACTACTATAATGCAAAACCACATGGAAAAACGGGGAAGTGAAATGGACACCAGGGTTATAGAGAGGCATATACTCCGCCCCTCCGGGTTGGCTAGATTTTTAAGCTTGTGTTGCGCTTTTAGTTAGGGTTATTCCTTGGGGGCGCAAATAAATAGAGCTAGCATGACATGATAGCTGGTCCATTTGGTTTGTGCCTCTTGAACCACAAGCCTGCTGCAAAAGGGTTGGCTAGATATTCTGGGGCCAAACCGGCATTCTCCTCGGGACCTTTCTGCGGTTTATAGTCCCCCTTTAAGTAGATACAATATTGGGTTTGTGGGGATCTTATCATAATATACCCAGCGCCATATTTCATCTACTTAAGGGGGACTAGAGGGTATAGGGTTTAGAGTTTTGGACGAAGCAGGGTCAAACTCTTCACTCCCACCTTCCCCACTTCCCTGCAACCACAAGCATTGATCCAGTCTGAGCTATGTGCTGCAAAAGCTGCAGACACTGAGGGTTCTATAGGGCATTCGGGAATTGTATGGGGATTTAGGGCGTTGCATAGGGATCTAGTCACAATGGAAAAGAGAATGGAAGCTATGAGTGGTGTAGCGACCTGTGGTTGGACACATTGATACTAGTATGAATATACCAGGGTTTAGGCTTCAGCGGAGAGAGGAACCCCATAAGTTGCCTACTTGATGGAAGCCCATGCTGGAAGGGTGAAGAGGGCTTGAGAAATTATCAATGATTTTGTTTGGGTGCTTTACGCAAGTTGCATCCCAATCCAAGACACTAGAGGTCCGGGTGCTGCAAGAATTGGGCAAGTGCCTCTAGCATCGGCATTAGGGCTGCTTGCCTGTATTGCGGCTGCAAGCGTGCCCCAGTCAGCTAAACCGCTACATTATCCCAGTTTCTAATTCATGTTCCACTTTCTTTTCCATGTGAGTCTCCTTTATTCCTATGCAGCCTAAACCTTACATCCCTCACTGGGACAGGTGGGCCCACGTTCACTACACTGGACCGGAGGCCTATGAGGCATGAGGGGGTTGTCAGAAGCAGAAAGGACAGTATCCTTGCTCCTTGTTTTGCCTGCCCTGCACCTTGTTCGGAAGCCCTGTGTGTGGAGCAGCTTGAAGTGACAAAGCAGCAGCTAGGAAGCAGCCCCCCCCAAAACAAGATGCTTGTTCAGCTCTTGAAGATCCTGATACTGCTGGGCGTGTAGATGGGGACCCTTGAGTTTAAGAAATGCCTGTCTAGAACACAGCTTCACTGTTTTGCTGTCCTTGAGAGCAAGGCAAACAGTAGGTAACAAACAAATGGTAACAAAACATTTTTTGTTGGGTCCCCCATCATAGTATGGCCCCTACCCTGAACCCTAAACCCTAAACCCTAAGCCCTAAACCCTAAACCCTTCATGACTCCCAGAATCTGATTTCGACAGTCCTCCATATAGGTGACGGCTATGGCCGCAGCAACTGCCCCAGAGGACTCAGCACAGCTGCCAATATTTTAGGTTCTTGGCTTCTGCTATGATGCGGGTTCCTGCTGAAGTTTCTTTGATCGAGGGTCAGATCGAGGCGACGTCCCATGTGGTTGAGGATGGGGTAACAAAGTTCAAACCTAGATGAAAAATGGTTGAGTTGTGAACTTCTGGGCCTTTTTTCCATGGGTTGCACACTTGGTTGCAAAAGTGTTGCAGGCGGCAGATTCTAGATGTGGTTCAGAAGGCGGCCAAGCTCAAACACACCATTCTGCCTCAACGAGCAGTCTCACCTGCTTCCGTTGTGGGTGTCCCTAGCGTAAGGTCACTGGCGCTTTGGTGATAGTGGAGGAAGAGGAGACCATACAACCCGCGAGGCGCGGAGATACCGTTTTGCACTGCTGCGTTGATTTTTCTTATGACTGTTATCTGCTGCCACTTGCTGATGCAGATGTTGATTGCCGTCATGATTTTAAGGTTTTGTCGCAGCTACAGTCTGCACGAGTTTGCAGGAAGCTGCCATTGGACAATGCCATTGGGCATCTTCACTTGAACATCCATGTAAGTGGGGCCATCTGTAGTGAAGGTTCCTCCGAACGCGCCTGCCTCTGCACAGGAGACTCCTCAGCTTGGACACTACCTTGGCATGATCATCTTTCTCATCATGAACTCCCCCCGAGGAACCAAACCCAGTATGTTGCCACTTGTATATCGGAAAAAATGGATGTCTTCTTTCAATCCAGAATCCCTATTATAATCAGGGTACGGTGTGGTGGGGTTAATTTGTGGGGCCCATGTTCCTGATTCCTTTATTGGCCCACATTGAAAAATGACTCGTGGTAACACTGGTGCTTAAGAAGGAAGGAGGAATATTACAGGGTTCCACTCCCCCCCCCCCGCCCCGCCCCGAAATAAATAGACACCAAAGAAGACGCAATTCGAGTTCATTTGGGGTTCAATTAGGCCTTATTGGGGGGAGGGGAAGTACGGGGGCGTGTAGTATAGGATCCCATGGTTCCCTAAGCCCCAAGCCTTCTTTTAGGGTTTAGGGTTTATTGTCCCTGTTAAGTAGATAGAATATGGGGTATTTGGGCGCGCCGCACACTGTTTAGGGTTACAGAGGGGATAGAGGGTCATGTGGGGATTACATAGGGATACTGGAAAAGAAAAGGGAAATTATTATTTGGAGTTTAAGTTTTGGGGCATTTTGGGGATATTAACACACCAAAAATGGAAAATCAAATGGAAAAGAACATGGAACATGAGATGGAGACTTGGGGTAAACCCGAAACCCCTGGCTTGGGGTTTATGTCACATTTAGCCTCTGGAAGCAGGAGCTTGCTTTACAGCGTTGTATGAAGGAGTCTTTTTTCGTTGCATGCAGCAAGGTGGGGCAAGCCTGCAAAGAGAAGTACGGTTGATACTAAACATCCTGCATGACTTCACTAAACTATCGTACTATGATTCCCAAGCTACGGGGCCATGCCAGATGTTTAGTATCCACCCTAGGAAAGGCCGCAGCGAAGTAGACCAACCCTGAGACGCAACCTGGTCGATGGCAGTTGAGCGCGTGCCCGCGTGGGATTACTACAGGGGCCTCAACAATTACTCACTGCATGGTCTCAGTGTGGTTTCGAGTACCTCAAATAGACCTTGACAGGATATTACTCATCATTCAGACACGGTAGTAGGCTGTGCTGTTGGGGTTCCCCTTGAGCTTGCCAGGCGGGGAGGCATCGTCACTCCAGCGTTCGCTTTCCACGGTACAAGCTACGTGCCCCTTGCTGCTTGGGACAGGCGTTCCGTTGGCAAGGATGCAATAGCCATAGTAGTAGTGACAATAAGAAGGTTTCTAAATTGTCCTAAGAATGATGATAATGATAACCACTACAATATGAGCCCCATACTGGCCAATCAGTCATAATCCACCGGTAAGAGCCGCGAGAGGAAAAAGTATTAAGATGACTCTTATAATGATGCTTGTCATTGCTGCTCTTACAAGGTAAGTGTTGCGAGGGAGTTTTCGTGGCTTCTATCATGATGGACAGGTACGCCGCTTGGAAGCCATGGCCTTTGCAGCCGCGAAGAGCGGTAGGCGAATGAGCTTCAGGCTCATTGTACGTTCAAGCACCTGGGAGTTTTACAAAATCACCTGTCTTTCTATAATCCGTATAGGAGTTCCTAGCTACCTGCGAGCCACTCAATTGTCATGGGCCTCTGAAAGGGGTACTCTACTGCAGAAGCCTCAAGGCAAGCCCCTGGTTTAGCTGGGAATGAAGGAAAATAGAAACTGCTACTGGGTTATATAGGGGGAAGGGTTTAGGGTTTAGGGTATAGAAGGGAGTGGAAAAGAACATGGAAACTATTCTACTAGGTCATGTAGGGGAAAGGGTTTATTTAGGGTTCAGGGTTTAGAAGGGAGTGGAAAAGAAAATGGAAACTGTTATAGTATTTTATAGATGGACTACTTTGAGGATCCATTCCTTCATTCCTAGCTAATCAAAGGTAAGAGGGGGGTTCAGGGAGTTTAGGAAGCAGGCAGCTCTACAACAGCGCAATCCCCTCCGCATAATGAACACCCCCCCCCCCTAACATTAAATACTACCTAAAATGTTTTACGTGGAGTGGGAGGGGTGTAATATTAGGGGGAAGGGATTACCTGGTATGCGCACATTGTGGGCCATTTGAGTTATGCAGCATTTAGGGATCCACGTAGGGTCCTGACTACATTGCGCGGTGTCTCTATAACCTACTATATTCTACATACATTTTATGCTATCTTATCATATATCCTAATAACAACAGCGGGCGAAAGCGGAGGGGATTATTCACTTAACCCTAAACCCTCAAGCCTAAATCCTCAACCTTAAACTCAAAACCCTCAACCCTTAAACCAAAACCCGCAACCCTAAACCTTTAAACCAAAACACGCAACCCTAAATCCTCAACCTAAACCCTCAAGCCTAAACCCTAAACCCTAAACCCTCAACCTAAACCCTCAAGCCTCACTAACAAACCCGAATCTTTGGCGAGGCTGGAGGATGGCAAGCCCACAGAGGTGGGGAGTTTAGGGTTTAGGGTTTAGGGTTTTGGGGTTTAGGTACTCTATAGGCCCAAAGGAGTACTTCAAGGTGGCACTCACTCTTCGCAGACCTTCGCAGCAGTACTGGAGCAGTTGTTCCGAACTCTTCATGGTAAGTGGGCATCCGAGTTCCCTGACCTCATTGATGCCTGGATCTACATTGATGATTGTCTGTTCCGCTTCAAATCGTGGCAGGTGCTTAGAATTGCACTCCCTTGGATTCTTCAGCAGTTTCGACTCTATGGCTTTAGGTGGAATCTTTCGAAAACGACCCTTGCTAGCACCCCTCAGAGGCTCAGAGAGGGGGAGCTTCTTTGTTGCCCTGGAGAACTAGTGACGCAGCTCACATGGACAGCCTCCTTCAAATATCTCGGTTGTCGCCTTCGACACCCTGCTCTGTATGCTGATGATGGAGCTACTCTCACCGAGGACCTACTGCCTCAGTGTATGGAGAAGGTGAGGAATGGTCTCTGCATGATGCAGTCCATTCTCAAACACTGTCACTGGTCCCGAGTGCATACTGCCCTGGCTTTGCTGGACACCTACATCTCATCAAAATGGCTCTGGATGTGTCCTTTGTTGGAACCACTTCGTAAACATCTGGACTACGTACAGCAGCTACATCATACGGTGCTTTGTAGTACTCTAAGGCTGTTCATTCCTTCAGATGTGAAGGCGCCTGTTGCGCACGCCCTCAACAGAATCAGACGTCGTGCGTTGCGGGAGCTCTTGCGTACACACCCCAGACATAAGGCATGGGCTGAAACGTGGGTAGTCAGACGATGGTCGTATTTTGGTCATGTGCTTCGTAGAGAAGACAACCACCTAGCACGTCGTGAGCTGCTTACATCCATAGTGCAACATAGAGATGGCCGTGCTTCTTTGCCCCAGAGATGGTTGCTGGGGTGTTTGCGTCAGGCAAAGCAGTGGCCAGTGTTGACATCAGATCACTTAGCGAATCTTTATGTGACGCGTGACGAATGGAGTGATTGCTTGCCATCAGTCTTGAGACAGCATGGGTTATCCACGGCTGCCGATGCTCCGGCTTTGGCCAGGGACACCTGGGAGTCCTGGCGTCATGCGGTTCAAGTCTGCGTGAGTTGGTTGTGGCCAGTGTGGGTGTGGCAAGAAGCTGGCCGCCTCCACTTTAAGTGGTTGGACAGAGAACACGGGTGGTGTCAGCTCAGTCATGCGCTTCCCGTAGTAGAAGCCATCCAGACACATGTGCAACACCTGCCCTTAATGTCAGGACGTGGCATGCCTTTCGTAGTCATGTTCCACGTTGCGCGCGAAGCGCCGTTTGTCGCTGCACTAATGCAATCTTTGAGGGGCCGTGTCTTTGCCCAACTTCC